GAGAACTTGACTCAGCCTGTCTACACCCCCATCTTAAAGGATTGATCATCCGACAGCAGGAACTAAGGTGATTAATGAATTCCCTTTAAAATAGAAGGATTACAGAAGCACAGTAGTAGGTTTCTGCTTTCACCAAAGAAAGTCATTTCCTATTTACATAAATAATGGGACAGACGCTTTAGTCATACCATCTTCTTTGCTGGCTTTCTTTTTATAGAGCGTCTTAACTGCTAGGTGCTATTACGGGGGGGGGAATTGGAGATGCACGAAATTATATGTAAAGCCACTCAAAAAAAGGCAGAGCCTCGTAACCACCATCTTTGCAGTGTGTCACCCACATCAGTCTCACCAGCATCTGGTTATATAAATATTTAAAAAAAAACACACAAAAAAACAAATAACCCAACCCAAAACCAGAGTTTATATGCTCGGCAATACCCTGAGGATTCTGGCAGGCTGCAATGGGAGCAGAGGAAGCCCTCTCACTGTTCCTGGCAAGTAATCAGCCATCAGAGAATTTCAGACCTTACAACAGGGTGCTAGGCAAAAGGCAGTTTTGGCTACTGGGGTCCCTTTTTATTCAGGGCCGTAGGACTGTAGCCAAAACTCTGAATTGCATCTTGAAGCGAACAGGTGGCAGTGCAAAGAGCATGAGCACTTGCTGCCTAATATGCGCTTTTGTGCTGTTAAAGTTAAATGTAAAAACGCAAGGTTATGCTTTAATTATTTATATTACAGTAACACTTAGACTGGGATCAGGGCCCCATCGTACAGGGACTGTAAGAAACTTTCCCTGCCCAAATAAGCTTACAAATCTAAATATACAAGACAGATAATGGGTGAGAGAAAGGCAACATTATCTCTATTTTACAGATGGGGAAACCGAAGCACCGAGCGATTAAGTGACTTGCCCAAGGTCACGCAGGAAGTCTGCATTAGAACCAGGAATAGCCCACACTGCACCATGCCAAACATCTAGCTACATCTTTATTTCATATACATGATAAAAACAAAGTTGGTTATCCGATTCTATGATTATTTTTAGAAGCAAGCTGTACAAAATAAAGGCCCAGGGTTTTACGTGAGTATGTGTACTACCACAGCCCTCATGACTGTGACATGAGAACATTATGATTCCTACACTGAGTGACATCTCTTGTTATGCAATTTCCTAACCTTCTCAAACATCTGGCCATTCTCCTCCAGCCACTAGCTTCCTCCTCCTTGCCATCCTGCCCTGTTCCCACACATGAATTGCCCTTCCATCCTGCCATTAATTCAGTAACCTCAGACACGTATGCAGCCTCTACCATTTAAGTGTAAGTACTTCCTGGAATAAAAGTGTGTAACCTTTTGATACACAGCATGAGTTAGTACCCGCATCATCAGCTTTAACCGCTCAGGGCAAACGTTACCAGCATGATTTTAAACATAACACTATCTAGCAGAGCAAATCTCTGGACTTCAATAAGTTGAGCAAATTCTGTTCATAATATAAACACTCTGCAGGTCAGCTCCAGTAAGTACTTCAGTGCATTAACATCTTGTTCTGATCAGCTGATTTTCCTCCACATGAGGTTTCCTTGTATCATCTCTCCCTGTGATGTCCTGTTTCCTGGGAAGACAGCTGTTTCCTGGGAAGACAGCTGAAAATAGCCTGCTGTGCATAAAGGAACTTTCTAGTATTCCCAGACTGTCTAATACTCCTACATCTGGGAAAAGGAAAAAAAGTCAACAACCTTAAACAGCTATGCAAACAAAGCCAAAACCTTGCAGTACTGGATTATGAATATGCAGCGAGACCAGAGTTTCCAAAGTAAAAGTTAGAGCTATCGTGTCCACCAAGACACTGTACTGGCTAAAATTACTTTCATGTACCAGTTGCAAAACTTTAGTTCTCAGGACAAGTTACACAGCTTGTATTGCTTCAGCCTCTTGTAAAATCAAAATAAAAGGGTTTCTCAATCGATTTGTTCTTCATTAGGAAAGAGAAAACAGTCCAGAATCAGAAAGGTCTAAGATAGCTAAAAGTATTGTCTACTCTCCCCACCCTCACCTACGTATTACAGGCAGCAGAAACACATGATCACAACAAAAATGGATCTTTCCCAGGATGTGAAGAATTCCCATCAGTGCCAGAAGGGCCACAAAGCAGCTAGTAAGCAGTTATGACAAGAACTGATGGGAACTCTTATGTAAGTACATACAGGTGGGGCTGGAACAATTTGTATAGTGAGGGTGCTGAGAGACATTGAACCGAACTGTAAACCCTGTATATAATGGAAACCACTTAAAGCCGGGGGGTGCAGTAGCACCCCCCACACTTCTAGTTCCAACACCTATGATTACATAAGCATATTTATTTATTGTAGATGCAAATACTTTATTTAAAAATCATGTCCAGGTTGCTAGGCTCAACCTTTGATTGTGCTTCTCTCTCTCTTTACCTCCCACTTTCTATATTTGCAAAGACCTTGACATTCATACTTAATGTCTGCCCCAGTACACAGAGACTTTATTCTAAAGAAGCTGTCAGCAGCCCAACAACCTAGTCTATGTGCACGACTCCCGAAACTTAAAACCAAAACTCAACCAGAAAGAGAAACCTGAACTCAGCGTTCCTAGACCAAACATAATTGTTGGGGCAAATTAAGAATGATCAATGGTGTAAACACAGAATGGGACAAAAACTGCTACGAGCCCAGCCAAGGCTACAATGAAGGATAATTTGTGAGGACCAGATTGGAAGGCCCTTAGCAAATGCTTGACAGTGTGAATAACACTTCACTCTTACATAGTGCTTCTCATCAGTTGATCTCAAAGCACTTTACAAAGGAGGCTAATATTTACCCCCATTTTAAATATTGAGAAACT